GAGCCCGCACAGGAGGCGCCGCTCCGTCCCAACATGGCGGCCGCTGCCTCCTCCCGCCCTGGCGGCCCGGGCCGCGGCTGCCTTTCGCCCGTCACAGGCGCTGCCGTAGGCCGGGGACGGACGGACCGTGGAGGTCACGGGGTGAAGAGCTGCTGGCGTGGCTCAGACTTACCTGTGCCTAAGGTGCAGGTAGCTCAGTGTACCTGTACCAGCTGCAAATGTTGCTTTCAGAGCAGGGTACAGAATTGCTTAAGAAATACCATTGTTCAATGAGGCAAACGTAGCAGTTCATTTCGGGGAGGCAGAGGACGGAAAGCGGTTAAGCACGAGGCTGATGAGCAGCTGTTTCAGCCCTTCTCCAGGCGGTGGGGCAACGTGCCCCGTCCTGCAGCGCAGGTGGGGTTGAGAGGGGCTACGGCAGTTTTACCCCTTTGATTTATACTGTCATTTTTATTTTTCCTCTCTCCTCAGCCTCAGGGGCTGTTGTTCGTAGCACCCAAAACCCGCCAGGCCCCGGCGTCTGACGGGTGGCAGTGTGGCCCCGCCAGCGGGGAGGGCGGAGGAGGCCCGGCACCTGGCGGGGCGCTGCCGGGCTGCCCCTCCCCAGCAAGGCTGGTCCCCGGGCCGCCCTGTGATGGCTGCCTGCACGGCGCCTCAGGCACCCCCGGCCCGGCACCGTGCACGTTCTTTTCATCCTGCGTGTTTCACTACAGGACAACTGAAATGTGGGTTGTCTTTTTTTGTTTGATATTTTTTGTTTCAGAAAAAAAAAAACAAAACCCACACCAAAATTCTTTCACTTGCTTTCCTCTACTATATTCGTTTCACAGAAAAAAACTAACCTTATTTGACCAGCTCTTGGGTATGCCTGGTTCAGGATCTTGTCTTCTATAATACCCTGCCTCAGACACTCCAGAGAAAAGTCTAAGTACCTTACACTAAGAAGATGTGATTACTCTGTCCCTCTGCTGTGTCAACACAAGAACTTCTGTAACTTTTCTCTCCAACAGCCTCTTTTAGTAATTGATTTGAACCGTTATTTTTTGTTAGTTGATTCTGTTTGTGAAGATTCTTACATTGCCTGTTACTGGAATGTGCAGGATGGCATTAAACACATCAATGTTTAGGTCAGCCTAAGAGTGGGCTAAATAACTTGAATAATAGCTGTTATAGGCACTGTATGCTCTTCTTTTTTGGCTATTCTACTTCAAGATAGATGCTTGAATTTTCTCTTACTGATTCTACTTTGACTCACAGAGATTAAAATTGTGGTGGATGACATGGACAGTATTTACATGACTATTTCCCCCTATGGCTGTCCAGAATTGATAAAGCCTCGAGGCTTGGATTTCTGGAAACCCTTTGACTCTTTCCTTCACCAAAGGTTCTTAAAGAGATTTGGTTGCCATGGAAGATTATCGGAAATCCTTATTAAAAATAGAATAAGGAATAAAAGGCTTTTACAGTAAAATCCCACAGAGTTCTGTGCTAGGATTTGTACTGTTGAGCATGCTCATTTTCATTTTTTAATATTTTTCCTTTTTTATAATTTCTACTAGCTTTTGTTAACTTTTCTTTTACCCGTCTTCATTTGCTTACTGTTTCTCCTTTATTATTTTATGTCCTTTCCCTTCTCGGGAAGTATCACATCCTAGCATCTGTCACTTCCTACCAACCTTTACCCAGTTTCCTACAACTGATTTCACAGAAGCATATAATTCTGCATTTCAACTTCTTGATTTCATATGCTTTTTCTCTGCAGATTCAACCTCTCACCCACTGGCTTTCTTTATACAGTTTCTACAGGCAACTTGTTTTTCCTGGGTTTATGCTACATAAGGCAGGGAGCAGCAAAAGCCAGCTGCTTTCCAGGGAACGTGGGGCCAAGAGCGAGAAGGCAGCCAGCAGGGCAGGGGCTTCACCAGCCAGGGCCCCATCCCACAGTATCTGAGCGAGGCGAGCCGGGGGAGGTTCAGGGATATTCAACCGTGAGTTCAGATGGTCAGGCAAGTTCATGGTGATAATGCAAGTACAAGGTAAAGCCCAGAAAGCAAACTACCGGTCAGGGTCAGGCCCAGCGAGGTTAACCAGAGTCAGGCACAGTCCCATGATCACTGGGCAGTTCTGAGGTCAAGCTGGGAATTCAGCCCACCGGTCACAGTCCAGAGCAGTGGAGTCCATGGCCAGGCACAGGTACGACTGTGACTCTGCTGAAGGCCTAGGCCTGAGCTTAAATAGAGCGGCCCGTGGGCAGAAGGTGTGGATGGAGGCACCAAGTGAGGCTATTCGTGCACTCAGGGACCTGACAACATACTCTGTTTCAGTGGGGTCATCTTCCATACATGGAAAAACTACTGTAGAGGACAGTTTTCCCCTAGAGGGCTATACAGTGCAGAGAGGAGGGAAGGGTGGAGTGTAACCAGATCCAGCCAAAGCCTAATACCCCTGTTTCAGGGCTCCTCCTCATTCAAAAGCATCTAGAAATCATTATTCATAAGGGATGCCTATGCTGGAAAAGTGTTATGGACTGCCGATAGTGCAGGGAACTTGTCTGAGATCTGTGGGAGGCGCTCATTTGACATACAAGGCAGGCTATACAGGTTTGGTAATCTGAGATTATGTCAGAAGAGATTGCACGCCTGGCAGTTGCACCCACATCAAACAGCTGACTCTGAATGATTGAGTGCCCACCCAGATAAACCAGCGTTAGCACACAGCAAGGATCTTTCTAAGGAACGTTACACTTACGGCATACCAAATTCTACAGAGAACTACAATACAAATATATGTGGAAATCTGTGCAGCTTTTTTACATCTTTCCAATTGCAGCTACACAGGGACACATCAGGAACACCAAAGCACGGGCAAGCTGTGCTTAGAGTTCAGCTGGCGGGCAGAAATAGTAACAAAGGGAAGCTATTTAAGTTATGCAGAGTAAGGTAGTTTGGTTTTGTTTTTTATTTTTTATACCTGGTTGGAAATTTCTTCATGAGCTGCAGCTGACATGAATGTCTGTCAGCAAATTCTGGTTTTGTGCCCATCAAAGATTATGACCTGTATTAACATTCTAGAAACAGGGAAGACTAGCTTGCCACCTCACGCCAGGACTGCAGTTCAATCTCCTGATGTCCCATGTCCACTGTTACTACATTTTAAAGTCAGGTTAAATTACTTCTCACAATGGGAACTTCTTTAAAATGTGTTCACTCTTTTTGATAGTGCGTCCTTTGCCTTCTTGACAAAGCATCTGACAATCTCTCAGTAAGGGTTGTCTACCTTTCTTAACAAAAAAGAATGGCATATGCTACAATAATTTAAATTGCTGGGCTTAAAAATAAAATCGAATTCCTAAGTTTGGGGTTTTTTTTTTTATTTTCAATGGGACTTACATTATTATATCCTGTAATATGAACAATATTTATTTCAGACATTCCTTGGTGGCTTGCTCAAGAAAGCCGCATATCCAGACACTTGAGTTTGCCTGTACCTTGTGTGGCAGATATGCATGTCTCTTGTAGAGTTTAAAAATATTCTTATTTTTGTTGGAAAATCCTCATTTGCAGGACTGCATCTAAAAGGGATTTTCTAAGCACTTGGGAACAAAGACGTCAGAATGTAAAAATACCGAACAGTGACACTTGGTGGTTAGTTATGTAACTTGCACATTTCTCGCCATTAGAATACATGAGATGAAAAATGATTCTCAGTTTTTCAGTCATATTTAGTAGCTTGTCTGATACAGTTTATGGAAGTCTGCACTTCCCGAGCATCTTTCAAAATCTTCAGAAGCATCAAATAAGCCTCATGATGTTCTGTGGGGCTGAGGCATATTTGAATTTTTCAGATGCAGAAACTAGAAACTAAGCAATCGCCAAAATGTGTGCAGTTAATTATTACACAATACAAACTGGCTTGATGCCTGCTGTATTCCCTGGGCCACACGTCCCTTCACGTCCTGTCATGATCTCTTACATCTTCCCAGTGTATATGCTACCACTTCCTTTTGAATCAAGCTCTGTGTGTATTGGGAGTTGTTTTATTTTCATGAAAAAGGGATTGGCTATCTGTCTGTTCCACAAATGTGACCAATTTAGAAGTTCTTACAATCAAATAAAGATTATTCAGCAGAACCGAACACATAAAAATCATAAAATACGAAGGAAAAAACCACATCATGATTCTAATGTGAACTCGCGTTGTTTGACTGGCTGAAGATTATTTGTACCTTGCTGGTCTCCTGCAGGTTTGTGTTTCCTGGTTGCACAAGAGACAGAACAGGCTTCCAAAACCTGCAGGTCCCTGGCAGTCAGCACTCGCAGTCTTGTGATTACTGCTGTACCCCCAGGTAGAAAGTTACCCAAGAGACCTGTGTCAGCTGTAACAGCTGTACCAGTTCATTGCTTGCTCCATTTGTGTGTAAGAACGTCGGGGACGGGATGGACGGCTTATTTCATTATTGCTTTCCAATCTCGCCATGAATTGCATTTTACAGGAGCAGTAACTCCCAGAGCAGGGAGTCATTGAGGTACAGAGAAAATCTTACAATGATCTGAAAAGGAGCTGTTTGGGCACATGGTACTGGCTTGCCTCCTTATTTCTATCTGAGAAAAACAGCTTGAGGAGATGGAAAGGAAGGATAAAACCAGGAACAGTAAAAAGAGACAGTCCTGGTGGCTGAAGTGCGACTGGGATAGCTGACCATTTCACAGTGTTTCTGGTCTATGTACTTGTATGATTTTTGGTGAGGGCAGGAGGTACTGTTAATGGTGTTTTAGGTAAGGGGGGGTAGGACGATGTAGGGTATATAGGGTATGTCTATATTGCACAGTTAGCCAACCTGACTGACTGCTGTGCTGTGATGTGTTTGAAAGAGATCCCATTGCTTTGTCTCTGAAGATGCTGTACGATACTTTCCAGGTCAGTTATGCCCTGAGGGAAATGGGAGCAATGTCATGATGATGAATGTAAAATTTTTCACTATATAACTGAAGAATCTATTTTGTAAAATACTCTGAAATATTTTGTCTGGCTGTTAGAGGAGATGAAAGTAAGTCATTATAATTATTTGTTATCAAAAATAGTAGGAATTCTGGATATTTTGTATATTAATTCTGAAAAGTAATACCTTGTATGAGAGTATATTCATCAAAGGAGTCTTGTATTCAGGCTTTTTCGAAAGGTGGAAATAT